TTACATTCATTTGTGGCACAGGCTTGGGGTTCCAATTTCTTTGTGAATTTTTTCCTACTCAAAGTCCAGAGTAAATATCAAATTACCCTGTAGCTAGTAAGCAGGGGCTTTCTAGGCCCCATTTCACAGTAGGACAACCCTTCCAGACTACCTTCACACAGGTAGCTCTTTTCTAATCCAGAGGGCTTGAAGCCTAGATTTCCCTAATATTATGATTATCAACTCTAGCCTCCAGCTAGGTTTATACACTCCAAGGAGCTATTTAGACTTGAGCTCCTCTCACCATTTGGTTTTGGATATCGTCTTTATTTCTAGTATCTAGTATCTATTTCTAGTATCCAAGCATTTTGCTTGCTTTCTTTCAAGCTTGGCTATATACCCCACAATTCATTTGTTATATTCTATCTAGTTTCCACTTCCTGTTTTTGAAATGAGAAGGGAAGCCTTTCCACATTAAGCAAAACCTTGACACCAAAAAATGACAAGGACAGTATGAGAGAGATAAATTACAAAACAATCACAATTAGGAACATAGATTTAAAAGTCCTAAGTGAAAAATTAACAAACTGAGTGAAGCAATGCATTCAAAAAGAAAAATCATCACAACCAAATTGGGTTTATTTCAGAAATGCAAGCCTGGCTTAACATTAGAATACTGAATAATATAATTCAGGGGTCAGCAAACTTTAGATAGGAAATACTTTGGCTTTGTGTGCCACATACAGTGTGTCATGTATTCTTCCTTGGTTTTGTTTGTTTTGTTTCTACGATCCTTTAAACATGTAAAAAACATTCTTAGCTCACATGCCATACCAACACAGGCTGTCAGCCATAGTTTGCAAATCCCTGATAGATTTCAACTTGCTAACAGAATAAGAGAGAAAAATCATAGGATTACCTCAACAGATGCATAAAAATGTATTTGATAACATCCAACATCCATTCATGATTTTTGAAATTATGCATAATCTAGGAAGATAACTCCCTTAAGCCAGTAAGGATTATCAACTTAAAACCTGTAGGAGGGGGCTGGCCCCGTGGTTGAGTGGTTAAGTTCGCGTGCTCCGCTGCAGGAGGCCCAGTGTTTTGTTGGTTTGAATCCTGGGTGCAGACATGACACTGCTCATCAAACCACGCTGAGGCAGCGTCCCACATGCCACAACTAGAAGGACCCACAACGAAGAATATACAACTATGTACTGGGGGCCTTTGGGGAAAAAAAGGAAAAAAATAAAATCTTAAGAAAAAAAAAACCTGTAGGAAAGTTGGTTCTTAATGGAGAAATGTTAGAAAGATTCTCTTTAAGACTGAGAACAAGATGAGGATGCCTCCTGTCTCTACTTCTACTCACTGTATCCTAGCCAGTGCAATAAGGTAGGAAAAAAAATTGAAGGATTAAGCTTTGGAAAGGAAAAACAAAACTGTCGCTACAGAGCAAGTAATATGATGGTCTGTGCAGAAAACCCTAGAAAGTACAGATAAAGTACTATTCGAATTGACAAGAGAGTTTAGCAATGTGGTTGAATATAAGATTAACGTATCTCTCTGTTTATTCATGTGTCAGTTTCTTGGTTGATCTTAGTCTGTAGGGGCTCCTGAAGGAACTAAATTAGGCAGGCTTTCTTCCAGAGAAAATTTTACATTAGCTTCTAGCCACTACTGACACGAGATTATGCCATTCAAGTTACTAGGCAATTCCTTAAAGCGCGAATCTCAGGTACGAGGCCCGATCTGCTGGTAGAGCCCAAACTTTAGTCTCCTACTTCCAGCACTGGTTTTGCTATTTGCCTGCATGGTAAGCCCAGCTTCTGTTCACAGTGCTAAATGCGATTTTTGCTCACTTGGGTTTGTTGGTGTTGTTTGCTACATTTTTGTCCTTAGAGATTTCCTTTACTCTTTAATGCACTGCTGTAATACAGGAAGTGTCTTATCCAAAATCTAGCTGCATCATAATGAGAAGACCATTCCTATCATCAAGTCAAAAGCATGATTTATTAAAAGTATTACCTATAGAAGAACGATTAAAAACCAAATCTCAAAATGTTAAGAGCGATTATTTTCAGATGATAAGATATCAGTAACTTGTTTTCTCTTCTGTATTTTCCATATCTTCTACTCATGATCTTATTTTGTTTTTATAAAGAAGTAGCAGCAATACAGTTTTTTAAAAGAAGTTACACACAGGACACATTAAAAAAACTATTTGCTTAAGTATTATTGAAAAACACACAAGAATATTTATCAAGCATATACTTGCTTTTCAAACACTCTCAATTAATTCTCACAAAAGTTCTGCAACTTAAGTATCATCATCCTTAATTTTGCAGAAGAGGAAACTGAGGCTCAGAAAGGTTAAGTTATTTGCCCAAGTGGCAGAACTGGGATTTGAATTTGGAATCACGTGTTCCAAGGCCAGTGCTTTCTACACTGAACCATGCTGCCTCCCACAAGAGAGCATTTTCACATTACCACCTGCTAGTTCTAATTAAGAGACGGTAATTAAACAGTTCTCCACTCCTGACAACAATATTTAAGCTACTGGCATTTTAAAGAAATTAATATGAGCAGTTTTTTATCTGCTGGAAGACACTACACCTAAACACAAACTACAAGCTATTACGAAAAGAAAAGACTCCAATATGACACAGTTATGGGCTTTTCCAAAGTATACTTCATCTATTAATGGAACGGGAAGCACAAAAATGTTGTTCAAGGACCAACGTATTTATAAGAATGTTCACCTTGACTAGTAATCACAAGAAATACAAATTAGGATAATAACAACATATTGATCAAACTGGCAAAAACTTTTTAAATAGTAATAGCCAGTTTGGGTAAAAAATGAAACTCTTGTACATTTTAGGAGAGAACATAAGTGGTAAAAATTTGCTGTAGCCCACTTGATAATATTCACACTTTAAAACTTACATGGCTTTTAATGTCGTAATTCCTCATCTAGGAATTTATCCTGAGGAAATAATCACAGATATGTGCATAAAGATTAAGCTACAGGGTTGCTCGTCTTAGAATTACTTACAATAGCAAAAAAGAAAAAGAAAGAAAGAAAAAGAAACTGAAATGAATCTAAATCAACAATAATAAGAAATTAGGTTAATAAATTATCTATATTCAAAGAATTCCATCAGCCATTAAAGATGATGACACTGCTATATTTATTAGCATGGAAAGAAATTCTTCACATGATGTTTTAAAAAAGGAAATTAGAAACTAACATATAATAGTATGGTTGTATTCTTATTAACCTATATTAGGTTATATTTCTGTATTTGCAAAATGTAAAGTCTGAAATAATATATATCAAAATTTTGACAGTAGATATAACCGATGATATGATTTGGGATTATTTAAATTTTAACTTTTATTCATCAATATTTCCTTATTTTTCCACAATGAATATTTACTACTTGTGTAAAAGAAACAAGGAGAAAAGAAAAAACACTGATATCATAGAATCATATCAGTTGGTAAGTAAAAATGTTTACAACTAGGATCAATACAAATAAGTCACAAAACAGTATATTAGTATGCTCTCACTTATGTAAGAAAAATGATATATGTTAGGTTGAGCCATATGAAACAGCTTGCATTTGTCTGTTTTTTTACTTATAAAAACAGCAATTTCAAATGGTTCAACTTAAAACATATATTAGGAAAAATATACTTTAAAATGTTAATAGTATCCTGCGAGTTTTTTCTTCTTCATATATATTTCCTTCTTTAAATTCATCTGTATTTTCTTCTTTTAGTTTTCAATATATTCTAATTTTTCCGAAAAACTAAATCCCATTTTCAATATTTACAGGCCAGGAGACCCTGAGCAAATCAACTGAACTCTCTCAAGTTTATTAAAAACCAATGGGAATAATAGTAGTAGGTAGTTTAAGAGTGAAGTAAGGTATTTCACGTAGAGACTGCAGCATGGAGCCTGGCATGCGTATGCTGTCAATCAATGGCCCATAGAATGTGGAAGTTGGGAAGGCAGATATGAAATCTGACTCCTTAGGTCTACCACTTATTAATGGTTGTGTAACTTCTGTAACCTTTGTGTAGCTCAGTTTTTTCCTCTACAAAATGGGAATAACCCCATAGAGTTTGTGTGAGGATTATATGAAATAATTGTTTATAGAGTATTTAGCATGGTGCCTGACAAACAGGAAGCTCTCAATAAATTTTGACTATTTTATTAGTAGTATTAGTATCAGTACTTAGCTATTAGAATAAATATATAATATTTGTATAATAAATTATATAGCTCTGAGTTGCTTACAGTATCAGGTATGACAACGAATATAGAGGCTTTGTTTTATCATTTTGGTTATCCTGGAATAAGCTGTTCCATTCTAGTGTGTACCACCCCACTAGTGAAAACTCCACAAGTATTATAATCATAAACTAGAATTCTATTATATTTTATAGTCAACATTTCCAAAAGATACCATAGTGCTAAATCCATGAACGAAATTTTCTAAATGACAACTATTTTATTGTAATTTCTCCTTTCCCTTCTAAATACCTTTCCCACAAATATATAACAGGGAGAACAATTCTTCCTGACCAAACTTGCCTCCTCCACAAACATGCGCTTATATAAGAATCAGAGAGACTAACACTCAAAATCTTTCAAAATCCAAAAGATTCGTGGAGTTTCAATGTCCAGAGGGCATCAAACAAGAAAAAGAAAAGAACCAAGAGAGGAAGAAACAAGGAAGATAAATGAAACAAAGAAGAAAATTATTATTGGAAAAATTTCCACTTTGCTTTCAATTAGCATGTAAAGTCTACTTTTACATTTTCAATACATGTGAACGCATGCTTGGAACCGAGGTCCCAGAATCATGTTTCATTCCATCCTTTATAAGCTCTTATAGAATAAAATTTCATATCTTGGGATCTATTCCCTATTCAGCAGACATACACAATTCCCTCCAAAGACCCACACCTCGAGGACATGAACCATTACGTGAAGGATGTTTTCCGACCTTAACAGCTTCTCCAAGAGTTTGGTTTTTGTCAGCTTCCTCACTGGAATGCAATTCAAGTCTATAATTCAACTCCTGTAGCTGTTGTGCCTGTTCATTCAATAGCATTTGTGCCTGCTGCTCCCGAAGTAACGCATTATTCAGCTCTTCACATGCACTTTCAAACTTCTCATGGGTGATCAATTTCTGAAAAAAGGAAAAAAAATTTAATTACAAGCTGGCTGCATTGTTGTACCATTTAATATTCAGAACTATATTTGCTAACATAAGGAGTGTAATACAAACATTTCTTAATGTCTGATACATGACAAAAAATACAATTTGGTTTTTTTCTAATTTCATAAGTCAAGATAAAAAACATCACTCTGGTTTTTAAAAGCACAACAGCCATACTCCAAAAGTTATCATTTTTAATCAAATAAAATCTTAGGAAACTTACTTCAAGTTCTAAATAATTCCATAACGTTCAGTTTAAATGTTGGTACGTGAGCACTTTTTATAAAGATTAGGATTGTGGGAATTAAAGCCTTCAACAAGTCCCTAGCTTTTAAATGATCACCTGAAAGTCTGTGTACATTACCACTCTGGGTCTCCCAGGTCCAACATCCCCTCCTTGGAGAGGCCTTACCAAACCATACTTCCCTGGCTCCACCACCTCTCACATTATCATACCTCCTGCTTTTATTTTCTTCACAGCCGTTGTCACCATCTAAATTCATCTCATATAGCTGTTCACTTTTTTTATTTCCTGTCCACTCCCTGCTACCAACCAAATATTTAAGGATGTGAGCTCCACTGGGTAGGGACCTCGTTCAGCTTGCTCACCCAACACACAGAAGAGCACCTGGCTCTCAGTAGGTGTTCAGTAGACAGTTGTTGAATGAAAGAATATTCATCTATAAACATACCAATAAAATTGTGCACTATAATATACAACACAGTTTCTACAATATCCTGACTGCTTTGGAGAGCCGAGCACTCCACTCTGGAATAACTAAGGATAGTTCTAGACTGGCCATCGCTTAAGGGGTATAGAATCCAGGGCAGGATACACTTGTATTAGCTCCTGTTCAAAACATTTAAGCAAATGAAAATTAATTACAACAAACAAGAGACATCTTGATCTTGAAGTACAAAGAACAGGAAAGTTTGACAAAAGGTAGGTAATCTGAGAAATATATATGGAAAACCACCAGGAACCATGCAGGTCACTTCATCACGCTAAGTGTGCATGTATCTATTTAAGGCTGATAAATTTCCCATTGTTGAAAAGAATTTGAGGTGGATCAATATAATTAACCATAAATATAAAGCAAACTGATTTAAAATTTTTAAAAATCTAGGAGGAGGGAAGAGCTGAATAAACATCCTATTGATTCTAGACATCTGGAATATGTAAATTACTGCAGTTGAATGTGGACTTTCTCTCTGAACTTTCTGACAAATGAGACAAATGTGTTTAGTTATAGTTTCCTCACGGGCCAACAACAGCAAGCATGCAGTTCATGTAGAGAGAAAAACTGTTGCTGGAACTAAGTTTGAGGATAAGTTTATTACATGGGTCTTTCTATATCACAATATATTAGCACTGAGTTTTACTTTGGCACCAGCTACCTTGCCTGCTACCTCCTAAAAGCAACTATATTTTACTATTATTTGCCTTTTTGAAGGTGTATATAATGCATTCCTCAACACTGATTAAATTTTAAAAGTAATGAATGAACAACAGCGACGGTGCAGCATAAAAATAGATGCCTAAGGATTTACCTAGGTTAATACAAAGTAATAAAAATGATCACAAGTCACACGGGGAAAGTTGTCTCATTTCCTGAGAGTCATCTAGTAAAGGTGTGTCTAATACATGACTGATACTTGGACAGTGTTTGATTTTAGGAAACATATCTTTTTACTCCTCTTAACAGTTGCCTCACTCTCCATATTGTCCTATTACAACTAAACACTCCACTTTCTAACCATCAACTCTGACAGCCTCCTCTCAGCACTCCAGCTCCATCTCAAGTCTTAACATCCTTCTATTCCCTGACACAATAGCACTCATCCGGCTCTGGTAAACAGATATTTTTGTACTTCTTCTACCTTTTATTTGTTATGTTTTTTAAACTTCCACTGCTTGCCATCAGACCATTCTGTCCTTTGCAATCCACTTGACCTCTATAAATCATGATCCTCATCATTTTGCAAGACTTTCCCACTCCTACAAAATTTCTCCTTTACCTAAAAACTTAGTTGATTTTAGCCTCTCTTTTGTCCATTTATCCCTCCCAGAGACTGGCACAATTCTGTTCACTCTTCTACAAGTAAATCGGATCAAACAAGTGTAACAATGGAAATTAATAAAGAAGTGGTATGTGAAAGCAGTTGTAAGGAGCTAATAAACCAACAAAAGGTCATGGGAATTAGCTGGTAAAGAACAACTGTCAGTAGATGAACATGGTATTGCAGAACAATGAAAGTACTGAATAGCTTTTGGCAGGCAGGGTGTTCCCTTTATGTTACAATTTTAGACCAATTATAAAAAAGCTACTTTATTTCCCTCCTACATACTTAGCCTGAAATCAGTGACAGATGACGGTTGCAGGGACATTCCCCAATTTTTTTAGAAGAAAATAGCATCATTTTCCATCTATTTTGTTTTTAATAAAACAATCGTTTATTAACACAGCTAGATATGAACATTAATCACTACAGTGAAGTGGCTAAAAGTATGAGTTTTGGAGACCAACTACCCAGGTTCAAATCCTGTCATTACCATTTACTAAATGTGTGACTTTGAACAAGTTACTTAGCTGCTCTGTGTTCCATATTCCTCATCTATAAAATAAGGATAATCATAGTATCAACCCATTATTAATATGAGAGGACTAAATGAATCAACATCCTAAACTGCTTAGGGTCAATGCCTAACACATGGTCAATACAGTCATTAAATGTTAGAAATCATCACTTTATAATTGTATACCTTACAATTTTAAGTCAAAATACAAAAAATGACATATCTCATTTTCTCAATTATTACCTAAATTAATCTTATTTTTATTTCTAAACTTTAGTGGAAGTAATTCACACTAAAAATTTCCTGGAACATACTCTCAGCTTTTGCTGTAAGCCGGTTATTCAACCAAAGTCCTTACCAGAAGATTCTGTCACCTTCCAGGAACTTTTCTTCAAATGCCAATCTTCTCTCTAGATTATAGAAACCGAGTCCTGACTGCTTCCAAACTAATCAAAGACGTTAGCCTGTTTTCCTAATAATTAACTATGAACTAGGAATTCACATTGTGTAGAATACCTAGAATTCTTCATACATATTCCAGGGAACAACATACATAATCTTCCAATTTTCAGGAGAGTCACTACTATACAAACCTAAATATAGTTGACTATATTCTAAACCTCAAATTGCATCAATGGCTGTCTCTTTCCATTTTGGCAGACCACCTCAAGATCCCAAATTTAATTAGTATATACAATTGAGGAGCTGGCCCAGTGGCACAGTAGTTAAGTTCACACACTCCATTTTGGCGGCCCAGGGTTAGCAGGTTCAGATCCTGGACGCAGACCCAAATGGTGCTCATGAAGCCATGCTGTGGCAGCATCCCACATACAATATAGAGGAAGACTGGTACAGATGTTAGCTCAGGGCCAATCTTCCACACCAAAAACTAAATAAATAAATAAAAGTATAATCAGCTCTATACGATTTAAGTACAATGGCAAAAAAAAGGAAAAAAATTAATACCTATGAATAGTGGAAAAGTCAAATGAATTTTGATACATTCATATGATAGAATAGTATTCAATAGTCTATAACGAAATTAATAATAAATGACACAGGAAAATACAGTATTTTAAGTAAATATATATATTTATACATATATTTTTGCAAATTGTACCTGCAAAATCATTCCAAATATGCATGCATAAGGTCATGCACATGCACATACACACAAAGAAAAATGTGGGGACAAAATTCATCCACACTTAAACAGCTATTGGTTCTGGTGGTAAGATTAGAGTGATCTGAGCTTTCTTCTAAATGCTTTCTTATGTTTTTATTTATGGCTATCACATATTACTTTCATAATCATAAAAAAAATGCTGAAGCAACTCCTAAATTTTACCTTCTCTGAACAAAAAAACTAAGAAAGTGAGGAAAAAACTGTGGTGTCTTTAGACATTCACTGACAAGAAAGCTCTTACTATCTTCAATGAGAAGGGTAATTCACAATTATCTGACTTGTGAAATTTATAGGAACTTTTTGCCCTTCGAAGGTACAGCTATTTCAAATAATAACTAACATTAGCAATTTATATGATACAGGATTAATAACTGCTATCTGCTGCTGCCTCTGGTTCCACAAATGTTAAAACTACAAATTCCAAATTAACCATTTAAAAGTACATTTAAACTGAAGTTAAACCTGCAAAACTTAGGTTTCCTAAAGAAAGGAGCACTAAAAGGAGCTTGTTGCTAGATGTGAGCAACTTATGAATATAAGTACTCATATTTATATTAGCTGTCATCAGTTTTATGCAGCTTTGAAGTTTCAGGGTAATCTTTTAACTCTATATTATTACATCCACATTAAGAACAGCAATGTTAATAACTAACCTGGGTGCAAATAAAATATGTGGGTATCTCCATTTTATTGTGCTTCATATATTTACAATTTTGATCTTGATCTAATGTTATTTGGCATATAGACTTTCTTTTCTCAGCTATCTTCTGCTTTTTTAAATAATATATATAAATCCTTGATGGAAGTTAGACAAATTGAACACTTCTTAGGAAAAACAATTTCATTTCACACTAAATAATCCAACTTACTCAAAATATTCAATATAAAAAGAGAAGAGGGGAAATTCCACCCCCGACTCCAAACAGCAGGCTCCTCAATTGGGGGCATTTTACTTATTTATTAATATTTACTATACATTTGGAGGTTTATGTGCTATAGCAGTTAAGCTATCCTAACTAAAACTTACACTTTTTCTACACTTTCAGTCACAGTACACATTTTAACAGGGCCACAAGTTCTGCTGGCACAGAAGCTGCACTTTTTTTTTTTAATTTTTATTTTTATAGCAGTAACATTGGATTATAATATTATATAACCTTCAGGTGAACATCATAATATATTTCAAATCCTGTGCAGATTACATCATGTTCACCACCCAAAGACCAATTATAATCCATCACCACACACATGCACCTAATCATCCCTTTATCCTCCTCCTTTCCCCCTACCCCCCCTGGTAACCATCACTCCAATCTCTGCTGCTATGTGTTTGTCATTGTTTTTATCTTCTACTTATGAGTGAGACCATACGGTATTTTACTTTCTCCCTCTGACTTATTTCACTCAGCATAATACCCTCAAAGTCCATCCATGTTGTCACAAATGGCCGGATTTCATCATTTCTTATGGCTGAGTAGTATTCCATGGTGTATAAATACCACATCTTCTTTATCCATTCATCCCTTCTTAGGCACCTAGGTTGCCTCCAAGCCTTAGTTATTGTGAATAATGCTGCGATGAACATAATAGGGGTGCATGTATCTTTATGCATTAGTGTTTTCAGGTTCTTTGGATAAATACCCAGCAGTGGGATAGCTGGATCATATGGTAGATCTATTCTTAATTTTCTGAGGATACTCCATACGGTTTTCCATAGTAGCTGCACCAGTTTACACTCCCAGCAGCAGTGTACAAGGGTTCCCTTCTCCCCACATCCTCTCCAACACTTGTTGTTTCCTGTCTTGTTAATTTATAACAAGACTGAAGTGAAGTGACATCTCATTGTAGTTTTGATTTGCATTTCCTTAATAGTTAATGATGTTAAACATGTTTTCATGTACCTATTGGCCATCTGTATATCTTCTTTGGAGAAATCTCTGTTCAGATCTTTTGCTCATTTTTTAACTGGGTTGTTGGTTTCTTTGTTGTTGAGACGTGTGAGTTCTTTGTACATTTTGGATATTAACCCCTTATCTGATACATGGTTTGCAAATATCTTCTCCCCATTGTTAGGTTGTCTTTTCAATTTGTTGATGGTTTCCTTTGCTGACCAAAAGCTTTTTAGTTTGACGTAGTCCCATTTGTTTATTTTTTCTTTTGTTTCCCTCACCTGGTCAGACATGGTACTTGAAAATATGCTGCTAAGACCTATGTCAAAGAGCGTGCTGCCTATGTTTTCTTCTAGAAGTTTCATGGTTTCAGGTCTAACATTCAAGTCTTCAATCCACTTTGAGTTGATTTTTGTGCATGGTGTAAGATAATGGTCTACTTTCATCTTTTGCACGTGGCTGTCCAGTTTTCCCAACACCATTTATTGAAGAGACTCTCCTTTCTCCATTGTATGCTCTTGGCTCCCTTGTCGAAAATTAGCTGTCCATATATGTGTGGGTTTATTTCTGGGTTCTCAGCTCTGTTCCACTGATCTGTGTGTCTATTTTTGTGCCAGTACCATGCTGTTTTGGTTACTATAGCTTTGTAGTATATTTTGAATATACTACAGGGAGTATGATACCTCCAGCTTTGTTCTTTTTCCTCAGGATTCCTTTGGCTATTCGGGGTCTTTTGTTGTTCCATATAAATTTTAGGATTCTTTGCTCTATTTCTGTGAAAAATGTTGTTGGAACTTTGAGAGGGAATGCACTGAATCTATAGATTGCTTTAGGAAGTATGGACATTTTAACTATGTTAATTCTTCCAATCCAAGAGCACAGAATATCTTTCCATTTCTTTGTGTCTTCTTCAATTTCTTTCAACAATGTTTTATAGTTTTCAGTGTACAGATCTTTCATCTCTTTGGTTAAATTTATTCCTAGGTATTTTATTCTCTTGGTCGCAATTGTAAATGGGATTGTATTCTTAATTTCTTTCTGCTACTTCATTGTTAGTGTATAGAAACGCAACTGATTTTCGTACATTGATTTTGTATCCTGTGACTTGACTGTATTCATTTATTAATTCTAAAAGTTTTTTAGTGGATTCTTTAGGGTTTTCTGTATATAAAATCACATCATCTGCAAATAGTGACAGTTTCACTTCTTCTTTTCCAGTTTGGATCTCTTTTATTTCTTTTTCTTGCCTGATTGCTCTGGCTAGGACTTCCAATACTATGTTAAATAAGAGTGGTGAAAGTGGGCATCCTTGTCTGGTTCCTGTTCTTAGAGGGATAGCTTTCAGTTTTTCTCCATTGAGAATGATATTAGCTGTGGGTTTGTCATATATGACCTTTATTAGAAGCTACACTTCTTTAAACATCTGGTATAACTCTTTTTTTCCAATTGAGAAAAAATTGACATATAACACTAAGTTTAAAGTGTACAATGTGTTGATTTGATGCACTTATATATTGCAAAGTAATTACCACTGCAGCATTGACTAATACTTCTATCACATCACATAATTATTATTTCTTTCTTGTGGTGAGAAAGATCTAGTCTCTTAGCAATTTTGAAGTATATAATACAACATTGTTGGGGCATTTTAGAAGTTTTCTAAAGAAAAAGAAATCCTATTAAGGGGATTTTGAATTATTTGAAAAAGCAAACATAAAAAGTTAAGGAAAACAAATACGCATTTGTTCTCTGATAGGGTGTGTATGTGTACATGTATATATACATACATATATACACATACTGTCAGAGCAGAGCTCACCAAAGCCACAGTTTTTTAAATCATACATACTTACAGTCTGTTTAAATTCATTTAATTGCATTTGGAGCCCCTGGGCTTTGTCAAGCTCCTTTTTCATTTCATTCACATTTCGTTTGAATTCCGTGACCTCCAAGCGCAGTGAGCGGCGCTCAACTTCTGCTGCGTGCAGTCTTTGTGTAAATCCAAATATTTGCTTCTGTAATGATGCCGTGCTTTTCTGTTGTCAAACAAAAGCAATTTTACAAGCAGTAACTACAGATTTACTAAGAAGTCAATAGCAATGACCATTTTGCCAAATTAAATGTAACTTACGTTATACAGAGAACAATACCATCTGCTACTGAAACTTAGAGGTGAAAGCTGTATTTTTTATGTGACCAATAATTTGGCTCATATGAAATGAACAACTAAAGAAAATAAATAATCTGGATGGCAAGAAAATGTAATTGACAACTGTTTATGTCTCATAGAATTCTGTTGCCCTATACTTATAGAGAATAGTAAATTCATAACTCATGCCAGAACTTCTGTATTTTGATATTTTGGACACTTATTTGGAAGCAGCCAGCCCTCGCGGTCTACTAGTTAAGATTCAGGGCTCTCACCACCACCGCCTGGGTTTGTTTCCCCGTCAGGGAACCACTCCACCCATCTGTCGGTTGTCATATTGTAGCAGGTGCGTGTTGCTGTGATGCTAAAAGCTCTGCCACGGGTATTTCAAACCAGCAGGGTCACCCATGGTGGATAGTTTTCAGTGGAGCTTCCAGACTAAGACAGACTAGGAAGAAGGACCTGGCCACCCACTTCCGGAAAAATCAGCCACAAAAACCCTGTGAATACCAGTGGAGCGTTGTCTGATACAGCGCTGGAAGGTGAGAGGATGGCGCAAAAAGACCAGGGTTTCACTCTGCTGTACACAGGGTCGCTAGGAGTTGGAATCAACTGGAGGACACTAACAGCAAATTTGGAAGTGCTTTTATTGCTTATATGAAAAGATTACATGAAATCTAAAGGAATCTAGAAACACTGAGGTACAACTAATTTAAACTATAAACATCTGATTCAGAATTAAATTTTCAAATCCAAAAGTCACTATTTACTGAAATTGTATACATACCAAAATGGGCACATAGCCACGAAGACCGTATTTCAGGGCCAGTGTGTTTACTTTATGAAGTCCTCGGGCCAGCCTCTGAACCAAGGAGTCTTTTTCTACATATGTAATACTCCAGCTACTATGCAAAGGTATACTCTCCATCGCCAGACTAATTTTATCCATGAGTTTTGCAAAAGAATTCTTGGCTGCACCTACAAGTAAATGTCCACAAATTCTGGAATTTGGATCTTCAAAAAAAGACAAAAAGACACAGAAAAATGTGAATTGTCTCTTGTTCATTTCACAACACTGCCAATCACAACACAATGAAAATATTTTCTCAATTATATAATTCCCATTTACCTCTGGGAATTCATTCAAAAAGTCCCCTCCCACATAAATTTTCACTATGAAAAACATAATTCACTTACTAAACAATACATTTATCTAAAGAAATCTACAAAATTTACATATGGTATGTCTTTCACACTGAACAACATGACACTAAAAATTTATCATCACCCTTTTCTTTGTTTTAAAACCAACATAAATTCATTTTCTATTTACAACTACCAAAGCTTGTTACCTTAATGTCATACTATTTATATTCTCAGACAAGAAAATATAATTTGCCTTATTCCAAGGCAATTAAAATTTTACAGCTACAATTACTTATTTCCCCACAGGATTCTGGTAATCATCTCTCTCATATAATGGACTTAAGGTCCCAGCATATCCAACATGGCATGCTTACTGCTAGATTCATCAGGTCTGTAATTAATAATTGTGTTTAATGTTGATAAATAAAATTGTCAGTGCTCTTTCTACTAATTGGTATTCCAGATAACGGTTAATAGGTTTATTTATGCCTTAATAAAAGTCGTGTAATTTAGTTTTCCCTCTGCTAGGCAGGTCTTAATCTGTCATTACTTGTCTATGATACTATCCATGTAAAATGACAAGCATGAAGAGATTATGTAAATTCAGTAGTATACCATTCTACATTTCAAGAGCCTCTGATGCTGGAGTTAATTTAAATCTTATCTTTACATCATAAGCACAAAAAAGCATATTTGGCCAGTTTTATCAAATAGAAAAATGTTTTATAATTCTAGGAATACATATGTTTCAACACTAAAGAGCAACATTGACTGAGAAGGTGATCAATCAATGGTTTTCTGTGTCATAAAGAACCATCTCACAGAGGCCCTGTGTTCAAAATTTGAGCCTTATTTTATTTCTTTTATTCTTCAATGTATAAAAGGAAAAATAAATCTTTAAATTTATGCAGCAGTCAGAATTTGAAAACCACATTGCTTAAAAGTTATACATAAAATACAAATTGTTAATTGGATAAAAGCATACTATCCTCCATTTGGATTTATTTCTGTCAGTTATTGATGAACTGACTTCTAAGAATATAATATAAGGTAATATAAGTTTAATTCTGTATGCCTCTCATAAATACTGAGAATCCCATGCACAGAAGGTATACGAAGTATAACTAAAATACACAGTTCCTATGTTAACAATCATATTCTTAAAGTAAATCATGAATGAAAAAGAATTTAGCATTATATACAGTCAACATATAATGCAGAACACTGAGTTTAAACAATTACTGTACTACAGTATGCATTTAATAGGTCGCTGCTGAATAAATGACAAACAGGAAAATTTACTTATTTCTATATAATATTCAATATAATACATTATTCCAATACCTAATATATGTATTCCCTGTTTCTCCAACTAGTTTGCAACTCCTTAACTGTGTCATTTTTCATCTTAGTAAACTTTTTACCTTCATTGTGCTAGCCTAGCATATATGAGTATTTTTTACATGTTTGTTGGATTAATTATATTTATTTTTACTTCCACAGCAGCTGCAACAATGCTGAATACAAGAGTGCATTCAATAATACAAAGAGAAATTATTAATATTAACTTTTAATGTATGTCAAAAGTTATTCTTTTTAAATAAATTTGATAAAAGCTCATTGAGGAAATTTTCAGGAATATAAAAGTAATAAAATTTTCACAAAGAGCCTTTAGAAGCAAAAGTCAACTAAAATTAAATTTTAATGAATAGTGGTTTTTTTACAATATCACAGAAATGTGTTGGGTATACACTAACCACTCTGAAAGGTGAAATTAAGTGACAATACAATTCCACAAGGCATTCTTCTGAATTTTTAAGAAGTAGGAAAAAGGTACACACTCTAAGTTCCTGATCACTACTTTCATGAATTACAGAAAGAGCACTAAATAATTTATGCTTTGAGGAGTAAGAAGTGTTTTTACGACAACTTCACATTATACAGTATAGAGTACAATTAATTCAATATTCAGGAAAGGAAGAAACAAAAAAATTCTTTAGTGACACAGTTGTAGAATTATTTGTATAATGATACAGAAATAAGAGAAAAAAATAAGGTCACTAAAATTCCTCACGTCTAAACTTGTCTAGACTATTTAAAATGTTTGACTTGCTACAGTTAACAAATTCTTATTTATGTTAAATACATTTGTTAATTACTTTTCCCCTATTTAATAGCATGTCTCAAGAAAGAAGAGGACTCTATGTTCTGCAATTACTTTTTCCAATTGAAGTGGCAATATTGCACATCTAAGGTTAAAATCTTAAAAACAAATTCATAAAGAATTATTTCAACCATTAGTTCTAAACCTGTGGACTACAGATCTTGGGCAGCGGGGAGGGGAGGCTGAAAAGTTATTATGAGAGTTCCACCATTTTTAACTGAAGTAATTATTGCCATTTGGTCTTTATTTAGCCTTAAAAATATATACAGCATGAATGCAGCCAGCCTGGTGGTGTAGTGGTTAAGTTCACACACTCCGCTTCGGCGGCCCAGGGTTTGCCGGCTCAGATCACAGGTGTGGACTTAGCACCACTCATCAAGCCATGAAGTGGCGGCACCCCACATATAAAATAGAGGAAGATAGGCACAGATCTTAGCTCAGGGTCAATCTTCCTCAGCAAAAAGAGGAGGATTGGAGGCTGATGTTAGCTCAGGGCTAATCTTCCTCAAAAAAAAAAAAATATATATATATATACACAGCATGAATAATATATGCTCATGATGTTGTGAGGATTTAAATTAAAACTTCTTTAAAGCATTACAGAAGTCAATTGCTACTAAAAATAACAACTATATGTGCGGAGAGAGCAGTCCACAATATATTTTCTTACTAAAATGGAGTCCTGACTCTCAGAAAGATTGAGAAACACTCCTTTAATGAAAAGAGAGAATGGTGAGTAATTATTTAATTAATATATGTAAATATGTAATTATTCAATTTAATAATGTTAGTTATGAGTATAATAATAATCAGCAGTAATAATAATGAGCAATGTTAATAATAATGTTAAAAATGTTAATCATGCATAATGTTAACTGCATTAAATTCTGACTCAATTCTGTACACTTGGAAACATTTTGTTGTCCTTGACATCTCCATCTCCCTTGTCATCTTCCCCACATCCTGTCGTTAATGCTTCCCCAATCTACCCAGTTTTCTCTGTGACCATGGCCTTATCTCACTTATATTCTTGAAAGAGTCTCCCTACTCTTCTCCAGTCTTGCTCTTCTTCAATCCATCCTCCACTGTAGATAAAGTGACTTCTAAAACACCAATAGGATCTTGTCACAACCCCTGCTTTGAAGCCTCAATGAGCCTCTTCAGATTTAGGAACAAATCTCCAACTCCTTAAAACACAGCTCATAAGGCCATACATGGTCTGATCCTTGATTACTTTTCCAGGAACATCTTTCACTATTATCTCTTTTACATGCAACTCCTTTCAAGTGACCTCAACACATCACAATCTTAAAGCATTCCTCTGAGCAAAAATATTGCTTGTGTCTCCAAACAGTTAATAATTCGGAAAGAGTGAAAATGGATATCAGTTTCAACCCTGATAGCCAATCATTATGATAAGATTCAAAGCAGTGTTCTATCTAAAATAAATTTCAGGGGTCAGCTCGGTGGCGCAGTGGTTAAGTGTGCACGTTCTGCTTCTCAGTGGTCCGGGGTTCACCGGTTGAGATCCCAGTTGCAGACATGGCACTGCTTGCCACACCATGCTGTGGTAGGCATCCCACATATAAAGTAGAGGAAGATGGGCATGGATGTTAACTCAGGGCCAGTCTTCCTCAGTGAAAAGAGGAGGATTGGCAGCAGTTAGCTCAGGGCTAATCTTCCTCAAAAAAGAAAAAAGTTTTAAATGAAAACAGCCCAAAATACTATTAAAAAAAAGTAATGAGAGAATTCGTCTAGCCATATTTGTTTTTAAAGATTGGCCCTGAGCTAACGTCTGTTGCGAACCTTCTTTTTTTTTTTCTTCTCCCTAAAGCCCCCCAGTACATAGTTGTATATTCTAGTTGTAGGTCCTGCTAGTTCTGCTATGTGGGATGCCACCTCAGCATATTTCGATGAGCAGTCCCAGGTCCGCACCCAGGATCCAAACCAGCGAAACCCTGGGCTGCCAAAGTGGAGCGCACGAACTTAACCACTTGGCCACAGGACTGGCCCCTGTTTAACCATATTTAAAACATCAAGATATACTCATGAAAGAACAGTATGATACCGGAATTAGAAGAGACTGGGAGACTAATGGAATAGACTAGAGAGACAGGAAATAGATCCAAGTACTTATAATAATTTAATATAAATGAAATGGCATATCTTAATTCAGGAGGGAAAAGATGGATGACTAAATTAAAAAGTATTGGGACTAGCTGCTCATTGGACACAAACAAATCTTAATTATTTCCTCACTACTTACACTAAAAATAATTCCAGATAAATCCAAAATTTAAAGTAAAAATTGAAAATACTAGATCAAAATACGAGCAATACAACCTGAGGTAAGGCTAGCCTTTGTAAGTGAATCATCAAAAGAAAAATCATAAAGTGAATGATTAATAATTTCAATCATATAAAACTTAAAATACATGAAATTTAACTACAAACTGGAAAAGTTATTTACATTATATATGACAAGGTGTTAATAAGTGTGATAGACAAGGAGTTCCTATAATTCTATAAAAAACAAACCTAACTCCACATATATGAACATAATGAGATAATTTGTAAGAGAATATGGACAGATACAGAACAAATGAAAACAAATGCAACCTAACCATCAAAAGTGCAAATAACAATACAGTTTCTTTTGCCTTTCAAATTGATAAAGATGAAAAAGACTGTCAAAACTTTGTGT